CTTCAGTGGGAAAGGTTACGATCTGCGTTTAACTCCAGGGAAGAATGTCTCGATTTTGACCCCTTTTCCGGCGCGACGCCGATGCGCGCCGCGTTGACGTTCCGGACGTTGGCGTGTAAATAGACAACGCGGGAACAACACAACACAAAACGGCGATTTTGTTTCTTCGTATCGTGCTTAAGATTAGTCTGCACCGAGTTTGAAAGAGAGACTGAATAAGTGACAGATATAAAAATAAAAGAAGTCACCACCGTCATTGGTGGTTAGAACACGCGTGTGGACACAGACGATAACACGTATGACGTCATGTTGTGTTGACTGATATGGACTGGGGGGGGGGGGGGGGGTCTCAAATGAGGGTCCGCGTACCCCTAGGACTACTAAGAACATTTCCTTTTGTTTGTTTTAATATTGGTTTGAATTGAAGTTTAATTGAATCTGAATACCGCCTTAATATAATTAAGTAAATCTGAACATTTTCGGTAAATCTTTCCAATAAGAGCGTATTTATATTTATATATTTTTTTGTGTAGCACTTTGTAACCGTGTTGTAAAAAGTGCTGTGTAAATAAAGCTTTACTTACTTACAAGGTGGGTTGCGTGTGTCCGTGGTTAGCACACTAATGCTAACTATTCCTGATGCCAAAGTAACCATCGAGACATCGACTGAAACGCAGCCTCAGATCAGCGGTTCCCAAACTGTTTTTAGCCCGCGACCCACTTTTAACGTCTGAACATTTGTGACACCAACTTCCATATCTATATTTTTGTGCATTTGCTTCCCAGTACACACATACAGTATTTTTAACCCAACCAACATCTGCCCATGATATCCACGTCCCAGCGAAACATACAGTATGCACATCGCACCGCACAAAGTGATTAGCAGTAGCCTGCTAGCGGCTACCAATCATTAAGCAGTCTGCTCCTAAATACAAGACCTTTATGAGACCTTTCAAACCTTTTAAAAATATTTTATCACATATCTATATATAGGTTATAAGTCAGCAATCTCCCGTGAACCATTTGCATATCAGGTGACCCCGAGTGGGAACCCCTGTGTGGGAGTGAGAGTACATTTCACAGCAGCTAGCTTCATGCATTATAGATTATATTATTATCCTTACATTACAAACTCCTCCGGGAAACACCTGGGAGAGCTCAGAGGAGATAATGGCTAGCTGCTGCTACGCGCTAATGGATGTTAGCCTCTATGTGTGCTCCTGGCTGCTATAAGTGCTAGTTGCTGTGCATGCTAGCGGCTGCTAGCCTCTATGAGTGCTCGCTGCTCTTAGCCGCTATGAGCAGAGGGTTTGGAGGTAAATTCAGTCGGACCTTGTAATTGCTTCCTCAGTTTCGAGCCGTTTCCTCCTGTTGGTCTTTTCAGGCGTCTGATTCTGTGAGTTGCTTAATGTTTGCTTGTAAGCGGTTTGAAACGCTGTACTGCTGCCATCTTGGCCAGCGCTCCCTGGAAAAAACAGATCTTGTAATCTCAATGGGACGCACCTGGTTAAATAAAGGTTTAATAATACAAATGTAATAATAAGAGTGCTACTGGCTTTTAGCCACTATGAGTGCTAGTTGCTTTTAGCCACTATGAGTGCTAGTTTCTGTTAGCCACTATGAGTGCTAGTTTCTGTTAGCCACTATGAGTGCTAGTTGCTGTTAGCCACTATGAGTGCTAGTTGCTGTTAGCCACTATGAGTGCTAGTTTCTGTTAGCCACTATGAGTGCTAGTTGCTGTTAGCCACTATGAGTGCTAGTTGCTGTTAAGCACTAGGAGCGCTAGTTGCTGTTAGCCATTATGAGTGCTAGTTGCTGTTAGCCACTATGAGCGCTAGTGGCTGTGAAGCACTCGGAGAGGTAGTTGCTGTTAGTCACTAGGAGCGCTAGTTGCTGTTAGCCACTAGGAGCGGTAGTTGCTGTTAGCCACTAGGAGCGCTAGTTGCTGTTAGCCACTAGGAGCGCTAGTTGCTGTTAGCCATTAGAAATGCCAGCTGCTGTAAGCCACTATGAGTGCTAGTTGCTGTTAGCCACTATGAGTGCTAGTTGCTGTTAGCCACTATGAGTGCTAGTTGCTGTTAGCCACTAGGAGTGCTAGTTGCTGTTAGCCATTATGAGTGCTAGTTGCTGTTAGCCACTATGAGTGCTAGTTGCTGTTAGCCATAGCCATTACGACTGCCAGTTGCTGTTAGCCACTATGAGTGCTAGTTGCTGTTAGCCACTAGGAGTGCTAGTTGCTGTTAGCCATTATGAGTGCTAGTTGCTGTTAGCCACTATGAGTGCTAGTTGCTGTTAGCCATAGCCATTACGACTGCCAGTTGCTGTTAGCCACTATGAGTGCTAGTTGCTGTTAGCCATAGCCACTTTGAATGCAAGTTGCTGTTAGCCACTAGGAGCGCTAGGAATGAATTATCCTGAAACTGAATTCAACCTAACGAACGCAAACACTGAAGACCTCAACGTCTATAGTTTGTCCCTCTGAGTGGGCACATGGCCACAGGAGCTTTTAAAGACGTCGAGATAGTGAATGTGAAGAGCCGGCAGCCAAAGTGCAACAGATTGAGTGAAAACCTTGAACTTTACGCTCCTCCTCGGTTCGGCTTTTGAGATAAGTTGAACTAAAAACAGAAAAATCAAGAGATTATCTGCAAGACCTGCCTGAGATTGTGGCAAATTTTGCAACTGTCGTAAGAGGCCGTATTGGTGGTGTACACACTGACCGACTGGTTTCCAAAACAGGCTTTAAGGTGCAAACGATGACACAGAATGACACTGTGTGTGTGTGTGTGTGTGACACCTCTCTCATCTATTGTTAGTCCATTGAGAATCTCTCTCTCTCCTTTACCTCAATCTATGGACGCTAGCTAGCTCCCAGGCTAGTTCAGACACTAGCTATGGATTTGGTTATTGAACTTACAGTTCATTACACACCGATGTGTTGCCACACAACGGATTTGAAATGTCACGGGACATGTGATCAGGGGAACAGACACGCATACACACAGCCGTGTGTACAGTACAGTCGACAACAGCTGTAAACAAACAGTTGGGAGTAAGTTGCTATCTCAGCTGAATCTGCTAGGTAGTAAAACTTGCTGCGGCCAGAAGGTCAGTGATATTTGTTTTCCGGCGAAGTGTTTAGTGTAACCTTTTCGTGCGTGGCGAAGAATTAGGTTTGCTGATTAAACTGTAAATAAAACTACACTTGTGGATTTAGGCGTGACCAGATACAGATACAGATAATCGAGTTTAATGTCTCAGATCAACAAAGAGCATATCTGGACATCTGACACCAAACAGCTTTAATCAACCAAGTTAATTATTACTTTAATTGAAACATTATACAGCAACAATGAGGTCTTTAAAACAGGTCAGCAGCGGCTGCGTATTTATTTACTACAGGAAAAACTTGTATTCAAACAACCAGTAAACCACACCGGCACCTCCCTCGTCCCAAGGCTGCCGTGTCCTCACAAAACACTTTATAGGTACCTATGTTACCTATGTTCCCTACTCACTATTCACTACAGTGTTCCCTACTTCCTAAAGTGTTTCCTACTCCCTATTCACTACAGTGTTCCCTACTTCCTAAAGTGTTTCCTACTCCCTATTCACTACAGTGTTCCCTACTTCCTAAAGTGTTCCCTACTCCCTATTCACTACAGTGTTCCCTACTCCCTATTCACTACAGTGTTCCCTACTCCCTATTCACTACAGTGTTCCCTACTTCCTAAAGTGTTCCCTACTCCCTATTCACTACCGTGTTCCCTACTCCGTATTCACTACAGTGTTCCCTACTCCCTATTCACTAGTGTTCCCTACTCCCTATTCACTACAGTGTTCCCTACTCCCTTTTCACTAGTGTTCCCTACTCCCTATTCACTACAGTGTTCCCTACTCCCTATTCACCAGTGTTCCCTACTCCCTATTCACTACAGTGTTCCCTACTCCCTATTCACTACAGTGTTCCCTACTTCCTAAAGTGTTCCCTACTCCCTATTCACTACAGTGTTCCCTACTCCCTATTCACTACAGTGTTCCCTACTCCCTATTCACTACAGCGTTCCCTACTCCCTATTCACTACAGTGCTCCCTACTCCCTATTCACTACAGTGTTCCCTACTCCCTATTCACTACAGTGATCCCTACTCCCTATTCACTACAGTGTTCCCTACTTCCTAAAGTGTTTCCTACTCCCTATTCACTACAGTGTTCCCTACTCCCTATTAACTACAGTGTTCCCTACTTCCTAAAGTGTTTCCTACTCCCTATTCACTACAGTGTTCCCTACTCCCTATTCACCAGTGTTCCCTACTCCCTATTCACTACAGTGTTCCCTACTCCCTATTCACTACAGCATTCCCTACTCCCTATTCACCAGTGTTCCCTACTCCCTATTCACTACAGTGTTCCCTACTCCCTATTCACTACAGTGATCCCTACTCCCTATTCACTACAGTGTTCCCTACTCCCTATTCACTACAGTGTTCCCTACTTCCTAAAGTGTTCCCTACTCCCTATTCACTACAGTGATCCCTACTCCCTATTAACTACAGTGTTCCCTACTTCCTAAAGTGTTTCCTACTCCCTATTCACTACAGTGTTCCCTACTCCCCATTAACTACAGTGTTCCCTACTTCCTAAAGTGTTTCCTACTCCCTATTCACTACAGTGTTCCCTACTCCCTATTAACTACAGTGTTTCCTACTCCCTATTCACTACAGTGTTCCCTACTCACTGCACAGAACTCCTTCATTTGAAATGCCCTAAAAGACAAAAAAACAACAACATTATCTTCAAAATAAGCAAATAAGATGCAATTCATTTGAACATGTAAATAATTCAAAACAACAAAGTGATCATTTAAATATAACATGTTTTCAACAATCATAGAGCTTGCATTATTATACCAGTATGATCATTTTGAGATGAGACGTTCCTCCAAAGTGACCTACAGGGTGAGGGGGCGTCTTGCTCTCGGACGCCTACAGGTAGACTGGGGACACTGGGGATCGAACCCAGAACCTTTTGACTGGGAGTCAACACCCTAACCAGAATATCCTTCCCCCATAGATCATACATTCATAAAACTGGGTATGATGACACGTCAGGATCAGATATACAAAACAATTCAAAGTCGATAAAGGATCATATGGAGTTATTGGCCCACTGGCAGACCACAAGTCAGCCGTGATCACATTCAACCCCACAGCCATTTAATTCCCTTTCAGCACAGAGTCAATAACCTGAGGTTGTATAAACAGGCTGGGCTGGTCGTGAGGGCTGCCGGCATGCGGCCCTTCAACTCGGATAACACAGCGGACCAACGCCTTCTCCTCCCTCTCCTCCCTCTCCTCCCCCTCACACTTCTCTCTTCCTCTCTTCTCCATCTCATCTTCTCCTCTCTCCTCCCTCTCCTCCTCACACTTCTCTCTTCCTCTCTTCTCCATCTCATCTTCTCCTCTCTCTCCTCCTCACACTTCTCTCTTCCTCTCTTCTCCATCTCATCTTCTCCTCTCTCTCCTCTCTCCTCCCTCTCCTCCTCACACTTCTCTCTTCCTCTCTTCTCCATCTCATCTTCTCCTCTCTCTCCTCCTCACACTTCTCTCTTCCTCTCTTCTCCATCTCATCTTCTCCTCCTCACACTTCTCTCTTCCTCTCATCTCCATAGACATCTTCTCCTCCCTCTCCCCCTCACACTTCTCTCTCCTCCATCTCATCTTCTCCTCTCTCTCCTCTCTCCTCCCTCTTCTCTCTCCTCCCTCTCCTCCTCCTCACACTTCTGTCTTCCTCTCTCTCCTCCATCTTATCTTCTCCCCTCTCCTCCTCACACTTCTCTCTCCTCCCTCTCCTCCTCACACGTCTGTCTTCCTCTCTCTCCTCCATCTTATCTTCTCCCCTCTCTCCTCCTCACACTTCTCTCCTCCTCTCTCCTCCATCTCATCTTCTCCTCCCTCTCCTCCTCACACTTCTCTCTCCTCCTCCATCTCATCTTCTCCTCCCTCTCCTCCTCACACTTCTCTCTCCTCTCTCTCCTCCTCACACTTCTCTCTTCCTCTCTCCTCCATCTCATCTTCTCCTCCCTCTCCTCCTCACACTTCTCTCTCCTCTCTCTCCTCCTCACACTTCTCTCTTCCTCTCTCCTCCATCTCATCTTCTCCTCCCTCTCCTCCTCACACTTCTCTCTCCTCTCTCTCCTCCTCACACTTCTCTCTTCCTCTCTCCTCCATCTCATCTTCTCCTCCCTCTCCTCCTCACACTTCTCTCTCCTCTCTCTCCTCCTCACACTTCTCTCTTCCTCTATTCTCCATCTCATCTTCTTCCCTCTCCATTCTCTTCTCTCTCCTATTCTCTCTTCTCGTTTTCTCTCCTCGCTTCTTTTTTGCTCTCCTCCTCCTCCTCCTCCTCCTCCTCCTCCTCCTCCTCCTCCTCCTCCTCCTCCTCCTCCTCCTCCCCTCGCTCTTTTGTTCTCTCTCCTCACCAGGGAAACAGTACATGATGTTATTGTGTGCGCGGCCGCGGAGCAGCTGACAAAGCGATCAGCGGTGTTATCCGTCTTATCGGCCGTCAGGAGGCCCAGGAGGCCCAGGAGTCCCAGGAGGCCCAGAACCTCTCTGGTCTTACTGCTCCCAGGAACCTCTCTGGTCTTACTGCTCCCAGGAACCTCTCTGGTCTTACTGCTCCCAGGAACCTCTCTGGTCTTACTGCTCCCATGAACCTCTCTGGTCTTACTGCTCCCATGAACCTCTCTGGTCTTACTGCTCCCATGAACCTCTCTGGTGTTACTGCTCCCAGGAACCTCTCTGGTCTTACTGCTCCCATGAACCTCTCTGGTCTTACTGCTCCCATGAACCTCTCTGGTCTTACTGCTCCCATGAACCTCTCTGGTCTTACTGCTCCCATGAACCTCTCTGGTCTTACTGCTCCCATGAACCTCTCTGGTCTTACTGCTCCCATGAACCTCTCTGGTCTTACTGCTCCCATGATCCTCTCTGGTCTTCTAAAGTGAGAACACAGGAACATGGACAACCTGCTAACCACCAGACTGTAAGGACCTCAAACCTAAACAGATGCCAACCACATTCAAACTAAAGTCATTTTTTGGTGTCCATGTTTTGTGGAAGGACAACATTTGCAGAGTGGGGAGTTTCCCACAGAAAGACACAATTTCTTTTTCGATTTCCATGGTTCAAATATTTTACAGATGGTGCAAAAATAACTTCCAGAGAAAGACACTGAAGTCTCACTCCAGTAGAAACCACGTCTCCACCACCATGCTGTCCTGCTCACCCAACATCTGTCTCCTCCGCCTGGCTGCTCCTCACACACCAGCTGAACCTCGCTGCCCACCGCCATGTGCTCCCTCCAAAGAGGAGGTGGGGAATGTGTCACTCATGTGGACAACTGAGGAGACTGTCTGACAGACATGCAGCCAGACAGACATGCAGCCAGACTGACATGCATGCATGCAGCCAGACAGACAGACATGCAGCCAGACAGACATGCAGCCAGACTGACATGCAGCCAGACAGACAGACATGCAGCCAGACTGACATGCAGCCAGACTGACATGCAGCCAGCCAGACACACATGCAGCCAAACAGACACACATGCAGCCAGCCAGACATGCAGACAGAAAGACATGCAGCCAGACTGACATGCATCCAGACAGACTGACATGCATCCAGACAGACATGCATCCAGACAGACATGCATCCAGACAGACTGACATGCAGCCAGACTGACATGCAGCCAGACAGAGAGACATGCAGCCAGACAGAGACATGCAGCCAGACAGACAGACATGCAGCCAGACAGACAGACATGCAGCCAGACAGACAGACATGCAGAAAACCACCAGACTGACATGCAGCCAGACAGACATGCAGCTAGACTGACATGCAGCCAGACTGACATGCATGCATGATGCAGCTAGACAGACAGGCAGCCAGACAGACATGTTGAGCTATGTGGCCGTGCGCCCCCCTCGTGCGCGCCCCTCCTCGTGCGCGCCCCTCGTGTGCCCCTCCTCATGCGCACCCCCCATGCGCGCCCCCCTTGTGTTTATTTGCGATGCAGGGCTGAAGGAGAAGCAAGCCAGTGTGTGTCCTGACCTCTGACACACTGACTGATTTACTCAGCCTCGACGCAGGCCTGCCAAGACACACCCAGCCCAGCCCCATAACACACACACACACACACACACACACACACACACACACACACACACACACACACACACACACACACACACACACACACACACAGCTGAGCACCATAGAGAACCAACTCAAGTGTTTGTGTTTCAAGTCGTTTCCCTGCAAAGTGTTCAGTATTTTCAGTATTTTCTGTATAATAATTAAACCGTTTATCCCAAATACATGGATACATGGCGGGTGGTTTTTGGTGATATATGATCAGTTTGTATTCATTCACAGTCTGAAACAACAGGATCAGAGTTAGTTGAAGTGTCTAGCTGTAATTAGTGATGTCATAACGGACCGGTGTTCATAAACCGAGCTCAGGGAAGCTTACTAAACACATGAGTTGTGTTTCAACAGGAGCTAAATGACCCGGAAAACACTGCAGCAATCAATGAGTGGAAAACACGCATGACTCAGAGAGGGGGGGGGGGGGGGTGTGTGTGTGTGTGTGTGTGTGTGTGTGAGAGAGATAACCATTTACATGAATTGACTCTTATCAGGGGGGGGGGGGGGGGGGTCCTCCTCATGTCTGTAGTCAGTGATAACACCTGCTCTCTACCAGGTCCTCATCCTCGACTTCAACACCCCACTCCCACAACCCTAAACTAAACTTTATAACTATAAAGATATAACTATAATATTATAAACTAAACTTTATAAACTATAAACTATATAAACTATAATTTATGAACTACAAACTTTATAAACTATAAAGCTATAACTATAATGTTATAAACTAAACTTTATAACTATAAAGATATAACTATAATATTATAAACTAAACTTTATAAACTATAAAGATATAACTATAATGTTATAAACTAAACTTTATAACTATAAAGATATAACTATAATATTATAAACTAAACTTTATAAACTATAAAGATATAAACTATAATGTTATAAACTAAACTTTATAACTATAAAGCTATAACTATAATGTTATAAACTAAACTTTATAACTATAAAGCTATAACTATAACGTTAAAAACTAAACTTTATAAACTATAAAGCTATAACTATAACGTTATAAACTAAACTTTATAACTATAAAGCTATAACTATAACGTTATAAACTAAACTATAAAGCTATAACTATAACGTTATAAACTAAACTTTATAACTATAAAGCTATAACTATAACGTTATAAACTAAACTTTATAACTATAAAGCTATAACTATAACGTTATAAACTAAACTATAAAGCTATAACTATAACGTTATAAACTAAACTTTATAACTATAAAGCTATAACTATAACGTTATAAACTAAACTATAAAGCTATAACTATAACGTTATAAACTAAACTTTATAAACTATAAAGCTATAACTATAACGTTATAAACTAAACTTTATAAACTATAAAGCTATAACTATAATGTTATAAACTAAACTTTATAAACTATAAAGCTATAACTATAACATTATAAACGAAACTTTATAAACTATAAAGATATAACTATAACATTATAAACTAAACTAGATATAACTATAACATTATAAACTAAACTTTATAAACTATAAAGCTATAACTATAATATTATAAACTAAACTTTATAAACTATAAAGCTATAACTATAACGTTATAAACTAAACTTTATAACTATAAAGGTTACAGGTTGTACTGTATAGACCACCACCTGACCCAGTGAGACCTGGTATTAGGGTCCAGAGGAGCACGGCGGCCGGGGCTGCACCCCCTGGCGATGGGATCAGGACCCTCCTAGACCCAGCGGACCCTCCTAGACCCAGCGGACCCTCCTAGACCCAGCCTCACCCCCCAACTTACCCCCCCACCAGGTGCTGTAAAGGCCTCCTGGCCAGGCTACCACAGTAAAGACCACACAGCAAACCCTAACCCT